AGTTATCAGTTCCACTTTTGTTTTTCTACTTTAATTTTAAAAATTACTCACCCTGCAGAGTGTTTTCCAAAAGGTTTGTATTGTATTTTGGTAGTCAAACCGTAACTCTTAACATTTTTGAATGTCAGAAAAATTACAACGTTACATTTTAAAGTATTTTTGAAAATTATGACAATTTAGCACCCTCTATTTCAAAAACTAGTTATAGGAGAACTTGATGCCCATAGGCAGTTTTAATTATAAGTTCCAAAACTGCAACATATTATATACAAAATTGTGAAAATTCACAAATTCTAACACCCTGTATCTTAAAAGCTAGTTATAGGACAATTGTGTGTCCATGGGCAGGCAGTTTTAATTATAAGCAATACTGTATATGAAATTCTGCAGATTCAACCGAAAGTCATTTATCATAAGATAATGCGTGTTTTATTAATTTCTTGAGTAAAATACATACGAGTATAAAATCAACATAATAATAATACATTTGTTATAATAATCGTTATGTAATTAATGTTGGATATTATTGTTCTAATTTTTATGTACAGATTTACTAGATTTGGTTCCTTCGCCAAAATTTGAAAAAGTTAGATTATGTGTACTACACCAAAATATGCACCGCTCTAGCTGTAGCGTATCCACCAAATTTGAAAAAGTTGTTTGAATCTCTATATTTATATGCTATACCGCTATCTAATTCAATGAAACTACTAGAACAAATTAAAATATATCAAAGCCTTATTGTTAATTTTGCAAAGACCTCTTGAAACTACAATAATAATATGAGTCGTATAGCCAATGATATTTTGTTGACTAGAAAAAATAAAGTAGTACATCAACAATAAATGAACAGTAATTACTGCTTATAAGAAAAAACGCATTCCTTTTTTTTCAAACCTTTCGTAAAAATCCAATATTTTAGTTAAAAATATGATGTTTTTCCAAAAGTTCAAAAACACTTTATGTAAAAAAAATAGTGTATAATGCAGATTCTTTGCTAATAAAACTTATCTAAATTATAAGAAACTTGTTCAAAATTTAATTCAACCCCTAATTAATGTTATAGAAATGATTACTTAATTTTTAACTTTAATTGGTTTATAAGAGTATGTCGTTTGCTACTCATATATCATACATTGTCTTCTTTTTAAATAATTTTAATCCCACTCAATCGTACTTATTTTTATTAACCAGACAAATCATTTCAAAGTTCTTGCATTAAATATTTTTAAATTAACTATTGTTAAGTCACATTTTTTTATTTTCTCACCAAAATTTGAAACATGTAATCGGCAAGCAGTGAATTTTGACAAGGGTGAATATTTTTAAAATGGAATGATTCCAGTAAAAAATAATTTTCATTTAATTGTAAATTTCATTATACCTATAGATAGAAAAACGGAAAAAATAAGTAAAAAAAAATTAAATTATTGGAAATGTAAATGTACACACATTAGTTTTATATTAATAAATCGATAGTTAAATTAAACTTTCAAAGATGATTAGTCAGATTACCTACCTATGCGTTTAAAATAAAAAATCTAAACACGAAAATATAAAAGCACTTTGTTGAGCTTAATTTATTAAATAATAACTTTATACAAAATACAACAGATTGTTTTTTAATTTTTAAATTTTGAAACTTTTTTGTTCTTCTGTTTTTAGAGTTATTAGTTGAAACAGCTTTATTAATAATTATTAGTGTACACTGTATTTGACAACAAATAATATAAATTCAGTTTTTTGTAAAATGTTTTAAACGAAGATAAAAACCAAATTAATCACCTCTATGATTTGAATAACTTTCATTTAAAGGATAAATTTAATTATATCTATAGAAAAATCAATAATATAAACCTAATTAACATATATTACAAAAAAAAATTTCGAAATGTAAATATGAACACATTAATTTTATAATAACAAATCGATAATTGATTAAATTAAGTGTTCAAAGATGATTACTCAAATTATCTATGCATTTATAATTAATAAATTAAAATAAAAAATCTAAATACGAAAATCCAAAATCGTGCTATAACTATATCCTATTTAAAAGTGTGCCAATATTCTAAACTTTATCACGTGCTAATCAAAGAACATAATAAACCCGAAGAAAAACTAATAAACCCACAAACTGCAACACTAATGAGGGGTTATTCCGTGTATCGAAGATTACTATTATTAAAACCACACGCACCTGATGCGTCTGCGCGCCGCCGCCTTGATGATACTGATGTAGTGGAACCGAAGATGCCATCATCATGCTCGAGACAACCTCGACACTTAAACGATGCACTAATAACTGAGTTGGCTGAGATTGCGGCGTCGCCTAGGAGAAACAGATGACGATCTTGATGACCGGGGGCGTGGATGCGCAAGGGAGGTGCGCAACGACCCCGCTCCGGGCCATCCCGGACCAAAGGGGATGTTGCCCAAGATGTTTTTGTTGATGGGAAGACGATGTGTGACCTTTACGAAGGGGCGAAAATTGCACTCCTATTGTGTGCGGTTAAGTCACTCAATCATAACTACCTGAATAGGTGTAACCAGTTTGTGGTTCCGAAAATAACTATGTATTTCCTGTATTGTTTATATTAAAATGCTAACTTAGGCGCAGTAAACGAATTATATGTTTATCAATTTGGCAACTTAACAAGAAAATAATTGCCCAATTATAAGGTTGGACGAAAAATAAATTACATTTTTGATCAGTATACGTACTTTATACTAAAATTCAAATTTTAATTAAGTTTCAAAAGAAAAATCAATGACCAATATTTTAGATTTAAGGATAATAATAATAATAACAATAATAATTAACAAACATATTTAATGTCAAATTATTACTTTTACAATGTAAAATTACATGCGTTACAAAACGCATAAATATTAAATATATATAAAGTTACAAGTTTTACCTGGTTTGCAAAATATTACTGTGTACCAAGTACTATAATTATTTTACTTGGTATTTTATGAAGACCAGTATAGTTAAGAGGTAGTGGCTTAATGCAGAAGACAGACATTATAGTTTAATTTATTTATTTACAATTTACTCCATCTAGGGGTTATAATACAATATCACTAACAAATATTGAGTGAACCACAAAAAAAGTTTATAAAGTAGGCCTTGCAAAAATTCCGCTGACGGAGCGTATAATTCTTCTTTTTAAGTGTCAGTTTGGCTCAGAACCGTGTGTAGTTATCACAGACATAATTTGTATCTCTGTCTTTGTTGGTCATGGCCTACTTTAAAAACATTTTTGGTGGATCACTCTTTATAATAATTCTCTCCCTAATTCACCCCTTTACTAGTGAATTTAAACGCCTGAAGCAGAGTCAGTTTGTGTGGGGAAGAGACGGATATTATTATACTCTACACATAGTAGTCTGTGAAGAGTATTATGGGTTTACTTTCAAGAAACCAAAATTTTTATTATGTGTCCAAATTTAATAATGTTTGTACCATAATCCTTCTCATCAAATTTTAAACGACTTTTAAAAATATCCGTCTGTCCGTCCGATGTCACGTTTTTGTCCGCATGATAAGTCAAAAACGAAAAATGAAATGAACTTGAAATTTTTAGACATTAATCTCTATAAGAGGATGAAGCTTATTGATTTTAAAAACAAATCTAAGGGATTAAGGGGGGATTAAAACTTTAAAAAGTCTTAAAATAAAAACGAAAAACAATATCAGCTTGAATTTTTCAGGAAAAATTAAGCTAATGGAGGGTTAAAGGAGGCTAAAATTTAAAAAAAAATCAAAAATTAAAAACGAAAAACAATATCAACTTGAAATTTTTAGGACATATCAAACTCTATAAGAGTACGAAGCCTATTGATTTTGACAAAAAGTCTGATTAATAATGGAGGGATCAAAGGGGGATTGAAAAAATTTATAAAATAAAAACGAAAAACAATATCAACTTGAAATTTTTAGGAAAAATGAAACTCTACAATACAACGAAGCCTATTCATTTTTAAAAAAATTTGAATAAAAATAGTAGAGTTAAGTAGGTTAAAATTTAAAAAAATTCATAAATCAAAATCGAAAAACAATATCAACTTGAAATTTTCAGGAAAAATTAAGCTCTGCAACGAGACGACAAAGCCTATTTATTTTTAAAAATCTCAATAGAAATGGGATATTAAGGAAGGATAAATTAAAAAAAAAGTCATAAATCAAAAACAGAAACAGAAAACAATATCAACTTGAAATTTTTAGGAAAATTCAAGCTCTATAAAGGGATGAAATGCTTATTGATTCTGACAAAAACATTTAAATAAAAGTAGGGGGTTAAGAGGGATTAAAATATTAAAATAAAATCCTAACTCCTAACAAAAAACGTATCAACTTGAATTCTTCCTGAAAAATAAAGCTTTTATAAGGAGGATGAAGCCTATTGATTCTGAAAAAAATCTGATTAAAAATGGATGGTTAAAAGGGGGTTTGATTAACTGTGAAGAGTATCATGCCAAGCAATATATATCTTCATTCTAGTTATTATTTGCCGTGGCGCTCCGGGGGGACTTAAAGATGATTGATGGTGCCATTTGACTTACAAGTGAGGAAAACCCGGAAAACCTCACACACCATCATCGAAACGATAACGCATGGCAATTTGTATAGGGGGTGTCACTATATTCGACCTATGCTTTATCTCAGGAACATAAAACCTTACAGGACTTAGTTACCGAGTGTTAATAGTTTAATACAAAAATTTAAAATTTGCCATAAATCAAAAACGCCTTTAAATATACCGGGTGTTCAAATTAAAGTGTTACAGTTAAATAACGCCGAAAATATGAATTTAAAAAAAAGTTTTAGACAAAAGTTTTATAGTTTTTTGGGGGAAATATTTTGGCTAAACTCATTTTTTATTGCTGATCATAATATGGCCATATCGAGGGGGACTTTTTTATTCCAAATTGTGTTAAAGTTCTTAAAGTTCTTAAAGTTCTTAAAGTTCTTAAAGTTCTTAAAGTTCTTAAAGTTCTTAAAGTTCTTAAAGTTCTTAAAGTTCTTAAAGTTCTTAAAGTTCTTAAAGTTCTTAAAGTTCTTAAAGTTCTTAAAGTTCTTAAAGTTCTTAAAGTTCTTAAAGTTCTTAAAGTTCTTAAAGTTCTTAAAGTTCTTAAAGTTCTTAAAGTTCTTAAAGTTCTTAAAGTTCTTAAAGTTCTTAAAGTTCTTAAAGTTCTTAAAGTTCTTAAAGTTCTTAAAGTTCTTAAAGTTCTTAAAGTTCTTAAAGTTCTTAAAGTTCTTAAAGTTCTTAAAGTTCTTAAAGTTCTTAAAGTTCTTAAAGTTCTTAAAGTTCTTAAAGTTCTTAAAGTTCTTAAAGTTCTTAAAGTTCTTAAAGTTCTTAAAGTTCTTAAAGTTCTTAAAGTTCTTAAAGTTCTTAAAGTTCTTAAAGTTCTTAAAGTTCTTAAAGTTCTTAAAGTTCTTAAAGTTCTTAAAGTTCTTAAAGTTCTTAAAGTTCTTAAAGTTCTTAAAGTTCTTAAAGTTCTTAAAGTTCTTAAAGTTCTTAAAGTTCTTAAAGTTCTTAAAGTTCTTAAAGTTCTTAAAGTTCTTAAAGTTCTTAAAGTTCTTAAAGTTCTTAAAGTTCTTAAAGTTCTTAAAGTTCTTAAAGTTCTTAAAGTTCTTAAAGTTCTTAAAGTTCTTAAAGTTCTTAAAGTTCTTAAAGTTCTTAAAGTTCTTAAAGTTCTTAAAGTTCTTAAAGTTCTTAAAGTTCTTAAAGTTCTTAAAGTTCTTAAAGTTCTTAAAGTTCTTAAAGTTCTTAAAGTTCTTAAAGTTCTTAAAGTTCTTAAAGTTCTTAAAGTTCTTAAAGTTCTTAAAGTTCTTAAAGTTCTTAAAGTTCTTAAAGTTCTTAAAGTTCTTAAAGTTCTTAAAGTTCTTAAAGTTCTTAAAGTTCTTAAAGTTCTTAAAGTTCTTAAAGTTCTTAAAGTTCTTAAAGTTCTTAAAGTTCTTAAAGTTCTTAAAGTTCTTAAAGTTCTTAAAGTTCTTAAAGTTCTTAAAGTTCTTAAAGTTCTTAAAGTTCTTAAAGTTCTTAAAGTTCTTAAAGTTCTTAAAGTTCTTAAAGTTCTTAAAGTTCTTAAAGTTCTTAAAGTTCTTAAAGTTCTTAAAGTTCTTAAAGTTCTTAAAGTTCTTAAAGTTCTTAAAGTTCTTAAAGTTCTTAAAGTTCTTAAAGTTCTTAAAGTTCTTAAAGTTCTTAAAGTTCTTGAAGTTCTTAAAGTTCTTAAAAAAATAAGAAACTTTTAAGGGAAACATTTTTTTTATTGGACTTTTACTCATTGAGTAACACCCACTTACACTCAAAGCTTGTGTGGGACTGTTTGGAAGCCCTAACAGAGCTGGGTAGTCAAAACAGACTAACCTTAGCCTGGGTACCAGGCCACAGGGGACACAGGGGCAATGAAGAGGCTGATTTACTAGCCCGAGAAGGAGCCTCAAATGCTCTTATTGGCTCAGAACCCTTCTGTGGTGTAACAAAAACAACTATCAGAACATGCACAAAGCAGTGGATGTTTAAAAAATCTCAGGAGTGGTGGAAAAACTCACCAGGACCGAGACAGGGCATTGTAGGCTTAACAAACATATGTTCAATATCGGTCTGACAGAAGAGGCCTTGTGCCGATTCTGTGAAGAAGAAGAGGAAACGGCAGAACACGTATTGTACTACTGCGAAGGTAAGACTGAGATTCCTTACACTTGGAGAAGAAAAACCAAGGGCAACTAGCTATACCGGAGAACTACTAACTACTTCCCAGTCCATGGAGTTTACAACAAAAGACCGAATTAGACAAGGTACTCTAAACAATGATTAAAGGATATCCACAATAGATCTGAAAAGGTCGAGGTGGGGGAGGCCACATGGCCCATAGTCCTAGTTAAATCTTAATCTTAACACCCACTTGAAAATTTTGCTGCGCGAAAAAAAAATTGGCTATATTATGGTTAGCTATAAAAAAGAATTTTAGCCAAAATTTTTACCCCAAAAAATATAAAACTTTCGTCTGAAACGTTCTTTTATAAAAGGCGGTATTTAACTGTAACACTTTAATTTGAACACACCGTATATATTTTAATTTGGACCAATGTGCTCTTTAAGAAAGTAACATTTTGACATATACTAAATTTTGACAAATTTAACCAGTGGCGTGCTATCAGTGTTAGTGACAACTCTTGTTCCCTATTTTTTACCACACTGAAACATTTTTTTTTAATTTTAATTTTAATATTTTTTAATTCTCTGATAATTTTTAGCCAAAAAAGTAATAAACTTTTATGGACAAAAGTCTGCAAGTTCTTATGTAATTTGTAACAACTCAATATTTCTTTATTCTAATATTGGTAGATCAAATTTTGAAAAATAATATTTAAAGACGTTTTGATTTTTGCCAAATTTTAAATTTTGGATTCAAACTTCTAGTAGGGTGTTAGAAGTTTCTCGGTAATTAAACCCTTTATGGGATTATGTTCCTATATCAAAATTAATCCAAACGATACACTCAGAGCTTGAAGTAGGATACTTGGTAATTTGCAAATCGATTTTTTTAACTGTCGTATACAATGATATAATTTTAAAAAATGGTACATGATAATTCAAAAACTGTTTTTTGGAATATGTATAATAATAAAACAAATGTATAGACTGGTAAAGAGAAAAATTAATAAAAAAATGTAAGCAATGGACTTAGTATCCGCACTCAAGGAAAACCGTATCACACATGCACATATGTAGTATAATAATAATGTTGGTATACCTCCAAGTATTTGTTTTCACCTTCGTGGTTCGGGAAACGTCTTAATAATTCGTAGGGGTATTTTTATTCTATTAATTTAAAATTGACTATTTTTTCATTAAATAAAATATCTTGATAAACCCTGTACATATTTTTTCAGATTTCAAGCTTACGTACTTTTTGAAAACTTTGTGTTAAAGTACAAATTTGAAATAGTTACGCCACTAATTTACATTCCCGCCATCAAATTTACAATATCATACTATGACGCACTAGTACTTTTTACTATTTTAGCAGAGTATTATTATCTATTAACCCGTTGAACATTTATAATCCCAATATACTAAGTGCAGTTTTCCATCACCTCCTTCTCCAGGTACATTAAAAGCCCAGCTTCAAAGACGGCATTGTCTTTTATTGTCGAATAATGAAGATTGTTATCTGGTGTGGCCGAAGTGATCTTGCTCTGCCGGTGATTTATGCAACTTGAAATTTATTTTGTAATTATATAGGTGTGTTTTGGGACGATCCTCTCCTAAGAAAATTTATTATTTCTATCGGAATTGATTTTGCGTTTGGAAGTTTTAGATCGTACCAGTTAATAAAATGTGTAGGATAGAAACAAAGAGATACTGCCTGCTCTTCCTGGAAATTAAATTTAATTAGGTGTATTGAGAGAAGGAGAAGAATGAAAAAGCCTCCGGGTATGACTTGATAACCGGAGAAATTGGTTGATGAAAACCTAATATCAAGGGCTTGATTTTATCTACTACTGTTATATTTTGATAAAAAATACTTTTTCGTCAGATAGAAAATAAAATTTTACAGGTCAAAAAGTCATCACTTGCACACCAGTTTGTAGACCATTACTAAAGGCTCTCATAATAAATGCTTAGAAAATGAAAAAAATACAATACAAGCCATCGACCTATTTACAGTTATTTTATATTTTTTTATACAAAAGTATTCATAAATGGCTAGACACAATCTCCAAAAATAAAAAATAGAAATTATCTTCAGTACGTTAAAATTATATATTTGTTCTTCATTCCTCCTTTCATAAATCTTTGTCACCCTCAATCGATTGTAAAAAATATAATCGAAAATATTTGATATAAATGCTATTTATTCGACGTCATTTTGAGATCCTGTAGATACTATTATACCAAATATTAAGAGAAAAAGAAAAAAATGTAGCAAAGTAATTACAAAATAATTCTACAGTTTGAACAAGAATAATGTATAGTTCTAATTAATCAGTGGTATAGTCAGAAATTTGTCATTGGGTTGGGGGGAGAAGAAGGGCGGGTTTATAGATTTCAGAATCCCTAGATTTTTACCCCCAAAATGCTGACCACCACGTGAAACTGAGTTTTATGTGGTACTACTGATGAAACGTTCTAGTTCTATATTGATTTAATTGATTAATTTTTGTTTTTTTACTTTATTTGTTATATTACTACTCTGTATTAAATAAAGTTGGATTCATTAGCGAATTTTTTAGTATTGCTACTGACATTAGATTTCTGTCAGATTGGCATAAAAAAATTAACAATTAAAAAAAATACTGAATTTGAACGATAACTAATGCAGTACCTAGTCAACTTTATTATGGACTTTTTACGCTTTTAAAAAAACAAAGTTGAATGTCCTACGACGTTTTTTTCCAAGGGTAATGTTGAAAAAAAATCCATATAAATTCAATTTTATGGAACACTACTGTATAGACTAATATATTTTTTATAAAAGGCCTTTATTTGGATAGGATATGCACTGCGGTTGCGAAGGCAGCCCATTGGGAGTGGGGGTTCTGACCCCCAGAACCCCATGAAGTTAATAATTGACGGAGAAAACATACAAAAACAAGATTCGTGCTCACACAGATTGCGACTGTTTTACATAAATAAACTGTTTTTAAAATAAACAATCGTTACATTGGTGTCAGAAGTGGAATTGTAAATAAATAGCGGAAAAATAGCTAAGAAACTATATGAATTAAAAATGGCTGCGTTGCGTCGAGAACTAGAAGATTGTGATCTGGAGACAACAGGGATGAAAACAGAGCTGTCTGAGCGGCTTAAAGAAGTTCTAGAAAGTGAACGTTTGGACTTGGACACGTATCTATTTTCTGATTCGTCTTCTACAATTTCTTCTTTGGAGAGTAAACTGTCTCTTATAAAAACCGATATTTCTTCTGACATTTCTTTCTTAGGCAATAAAGTTTCTTCCTTAGAAAATAAAGTGTTTTTATGATATTTCTTCCATGGAAAATTTCTTTCGATATGAAAAACGAAATCGCTTCTTTAAAAGATGAAATGTCTTCTGATGTGACTTCTATGAAAACTGAAATTACTGCAGATGTTTCTTCTATAAAAAATTATATTTCTTCTTTAGAAGAAAATCTTTTTCTGAAATGCCTTCTCTAAAAAATTAATTTCCTGCTGATGTAGAAAATAAGATTTCTTCCATTGAGGAGAAAATAAAAGAGATGAAAAAGAAGATAGAAGAACTGAAACATACAGAACAGCCAAGGACGGTGAAATAAAGTGCAATGAGGTGGAGTCAAAGTTGAAATTGGAAGGAGTTGTAAATTCTGTCCGTATTAAAGCTCCAACTTTCGACGGAAAGATATCATGGACCAACTACCTTAAATAGTTCGAAACATCTGCTAGAGCAAACGAATAATCTGAAAAAGAAAAGGCAGTAAATTTGACTATAACTCTTCGAATAAACGCTTTACCTTGAGACTATACCTGTGCAAGAGATATATTACTTTGAACAACTTAAGAAAAGACTAATCATGCGATGTGGCCACGAACACAGTAAGTATAAAATATATCTCCATTTGTATCAATCACAGCTAAAGAATCGCAAACAGAAATGTGACGATATTCTTCAAGAATATCAAGTAAATATTACCAGATTAGTACGTTTTGCTCATCCATTTGCTCCAGAAAACATAACGGAATGTTTAGCAGTCCAAATATTTGTTGATGGACACCGTGACCACTAAATGCAGAAAACACTCCGCTTAGCCCGTCACAAAACATTGGTCGATGTCTTGTACGCTGCTCTAGAGCATAAAGCTAGCTTCTGGAGAATACAGTAAAGTAAGGACTGTAAAAGAAGAAGACGTGAAAGATCAACTCAACCAAATGGTTAATATAATAAAGAGCTTTACTGATAAAAAAAATAAAGACGAAGACAATCAGGTACTGGAATTTCGATGAACTGGGACATGTACGCAGTTCATGCAAACGCTTTAGGGTCACAACAAATGACAACACGCCGCAGGAAAACTAAAGCGGGTCAGCCTACAGGGGGAAGCTTCGACCCGGAACCGTTCCAAAGACCCTATCATACTGATAACCCCTTTGAAATGTCGCGATGATACGTAGACCGATGAAGTAAATGGCAAAAATGATACACTGTTGG